AGTACAGTTACATTGCAAAACGGGTTTTACACTTTCAAAATCGATTAACAAGATATCAAGGGAGAAAGATTACAAGTACAGTTACATTGCAAGACGCAATCCTCTTGGGATACAGACTAATGACAAACTAGTCAACTACAGATACATTTTTTCTATTGGCAACTACAAACAATACTTCAAAAGGTCAGCAGCTTGAGTACTGCTAGTATTTTAAGCTAGTCAAAGGAGATTCTTATCTAATACACTTATTTTTCTAATTCCAGTCTATTTTCTTAAATTCCTATGAAGAAACAATGGGCATTCAGTCAGCGAAACGTTTCTGACTGATGCCACAAGGAGTATGTCACTTAACTAGGCTACACAATGATTTTTTTGTCCTGTCAGATACAACTGACAATCAGTTTTGTCTTTTAAGATAAACAAAGTCATAACTCACATTGTAACATCACATGAAAAATATTGAAAACTACACTAAAAATTCACTTTAAAGATCAAGAAATCGGTAACTTCACAAGGAACTTTTCCTACAAACTACAAAGTAGGCTACGAGAAGAAGAACTAAACTACATCTAACCCCGAAGGTGGAAGAGTCCCTGAAAAGACATACACAGCCTAGTTCTAAACGCCATACAAAGATTACCCTCTTCTCTTAAAAACATCTTCCAAGGCGGAGAAATCCGCACCTTTCCATCAAGTCCCTCCTAGGCGGTACTACACACAAAGGTACTTAGTTAACATCATTACAACAAAGGCATACAATTAAATTCAACACACTTTTATTTTACAAAATAGCAGCTGTCGTTTTGGATCTTGGTTGTGATTATAGGATAATATGAGAATATAATATGAGGATAATAATATGATAATAATACGATACTACTTGCACTTCAACTACAGGATATGCACACGCTCACTAAATTTGGTGCAAAGCATGAATACTAAGGATATTATATATTGGCACAATGCATGCAGTGAAGAGGATTCCTTTTCTCAAGCTAGTAATCGCGAATAAGCTAAAGCCCCAATCCTGGTGTTCAAGCTTCCCCTCAAACTGTTTGATGTTCCAACCTGTAAACGCCTTCCTCAAGAATCACGCCTTCTTAAAAATCAATTTATCTGAAAGCGTGATGAAAATGGGGCAGTATAGCAGTGTTAGTGCCAGTTGTGAAAACGTGGGGGATTGGGGGTAAAGGGAGCTGGCCCAGACTCACAGTGGCCACGGCTATTTGGGCTTCTTGTGGCTGCGGCTGTGGCAGCGGCTGTGGCATTGGTTGCGGCAGCGGCTGAGGCTGCGGCAGTGGCTGTGGCTGCGGCTGCAGCTGCAGCTGCGGTGGCTGCGGCAGTGGCTGGGGCTGCGGCAGTGGTGGAGGCTGTGGCAGTGGCTGCGGCTGTGGCTGCGGCTGCAGCTGCAGTGGTTGTGGCAGTGCCTGTGGCAGTGGCTGTGGCTGCAGCTGCATTGGCTGTGGCTGCAGCTGCATTGGCTGCGGTTGCAGCTGCATTGGCTGCGGCTGCAGCTGCATTGGCTGCGGCTGCAGCTGCATTGGCTGTGGCTGCAGCTGCATTGGCTGTGGCTG